TATTATTACAGTGTTTTCGGTGCTGTTTCTGGAAAATAAGTGACCATGGGCCCCAAGAAAGCTTCTAGTGCCAACCCTACACCAATAAGGGTGAGAATTCCCATTGAAATGAAGAAAGAGATCATTGATAAGTATGAAAGTGGAGTGCGTATCGCCGACCTAGTCAAGTTGTACAAGAAACCCCAATCAACCATCGCTACTATTGTGGGCACCAAAAAGACAATCAAGGAAGCTGTTCTTGCCAAAGGTTTAACTGTGTTTTCGAAACAGAGATCGCAAGTGATGGAAGATGTTGAGAGACTCTTATTGGTGTGGATAAATGAAAAACAGCTAGCAGGAGATAGCGTCTCTCAAGCGATCATATGTGAAAAGGCTAGGAAGTTGCATGAGGATTTAATTAAAAAAATGCCTGCAACTAGTGATGATGTGAGTGAATTTAAGGCCAGCAAAGGTTGGTTTGAGAGATTTAAGAAGCGTAGTGGCATCCATAGTGTGATAAGGCATGGTGAGGCTGCCAGTTCGGACCACAAAGCGGCTGAAAATATGTGCAGGAATTCAAGGAGTACATAGAAACTGAAGGACTGAAACCTGAACAAGTGTTTAATTGTGATGAAACAGGCCTGTTCTGGAAGAAAATGCCAAGCAGGACCTACATTACTAGGAGGAAAAGGCACTCCCAGGACATAAGCCTATGAAAGACAGGCTTACTCTTCTCATGTGTGCCAATGCTACTGGTGATTGCAAAGTGAAGCCTTTATAAGTGTATCACTCTGAAACTCCCGAGCGTTCAGGCAAAAGAATGTCCTCAAGGATAATTTGTGTGTGCTGTGGAGGGCAAACAGTAAGGCATGGGTCACTAGGGAATTTTTCTATAACTGGTTACACCATGCATTTGCCCCCAATGTGAAAGATTACCTAACTGAAAAGAAATTAGAACTTAAGTGCCTCCTGGTGTTAGACAATGCCCCTGGTCATCCTACAGACGTGGCAGAGCGACATTATGGGGACATGAGCTTCATTAAGGTGAAGTTTTTGCCTCCTAATACCACTCCTCTCTGCAGCCCATGGACCAGCAGGTTATTTCCAACTTCAAGAAACTGTACACAAAAGCTCTGTTTGAAAGGTGCTTTGTAATGACCTCAGAAACTCAACTGACTCTAAGAGAGTTTTGGAGAGATCACTTTAATATCCTCAATTGTGTAAAAACCCTTTTAGGTAAGGCTTGGGAGGAAGTGACTAAGAGGACCTTGAACTCTGCTTGGAAGAAACTGTGGCCAGAATGTGTAGACAAAAGGGATTTTGAAGGGTTTGAGGCTAACCCTGAGATGATTATGCCAGTTGAGGAATCCATTGTGGCATTGGGAAAGTCCTTGGGGTTGGAGGTTAGTGGGGAGGATGTGGAAGAGTTGGTGGAGGAGGACAATGAAGAACTAACCACTGATGAGCTGATAGATCAACTTCAAGAGCAAGAGGCCAGACCTGGGGAAACTGGTTCAGAGGAGGGGAGAGAGAAATTGAAGAAGTTGCCTACTACAAAGATAAAGGAAATCTGTGCAAAGTGGCTTGAAGTGCAAACCTTCATGGATGAAAATCACCCTCACACAGCTATTGCAAGCCGTGTTGGCAACCTGTACACTGACAATGTTGTGAAACACTTTAGGGAAGTCATAAAGGAACGAGAGGTACAGGCCACTATGGACAGATATCTTGTGCGAAAGAAGTCCAGTGACTCTGAAGCTGGCCCTAGTGGCATTAAAAGAAAAGGGAAGTAACCCCAGAAAAGGACTTGCTACCTCAAGTCCTAATGGAAGGGGATTCCCCTTCTAAACAGTAAGAAGATAATGCTCTCCCCTCCTCCCATCCCATCAATCATCACCAGATCTTCAATAAAAGTAAGTGTCATGTAAGTGTGCATGCCTTTTTCAGTTTGTGTGTATTAAAATTAACATTTCATGTGGTAAAAAAATTTTTTTTTCATACTTTTGGGTGTCTTGCACGGATTAATTTTATTTCCATTATTTCTTATGGGGAAAATTCATTCACATAACGATTATTTCGCATAACAATTACCCCTCTTGCACGGATTAAAATCGTTAACCGGGGGTCCACTGTATATATATATATATATATATATATATATTATATATATATATATATATATATATATATATATATATATAGATATGTATATATATAATTATCTATCATCATTTAAGTATGTTGATGTTATAATTACAGTACTCGAGTTTCTTGCTTTCATGGGATGTAAAATGTAATTTCATTATTATAAATTTAAGAAAAATTAAGCTACAATAATGTGATATATATTTTTATTAGCATAAAATCCATATAAAATTTCTTTAAAAGTTAAGCTTGCACTACATGCTGAATACAGCAAACACTTTCAATTTATCCTTTCTTTTCCAAGAATTTCAGTATATCTAGCTGTGACTGGTTTTAATAGGTTTCTATTCTCAGAGGCCAGTCTGTGGTCAAACTTCCCTGGTGACAGTCTGGTTTGCCAGACTATTGCTAACTGCAACACAGGCCCACACATCACAACCTGTCTGAAGAGGCACCTCTTGCAAGAACTTATCTAGTTTCTGTTTGAAGACTTCAATATTTTCTTGTTTTAACACTCTGGTTGTCTATCATCGAGGTAGGGTCACCCAACAAGAAGAAAGCACTTTCACTATCAATCATTCAATCACTGTCTTGCCAGAAGGACACTGACCTCACAGTTCAGATGACCATTCATACCACATCTCCACCATGAGAACTCAAGTCTGGCTAATCAGTTTCCCCTGAATCCTTTCATAAATCTTACCTTGCTCACATTCCAACAACATGTCAAATCTTAAAAACTGCTTACCTCTATATATCCCTATCTAATATGCTTACACAGGCCTATTGGATATCCAAGCCTCAAGCATCTAAAATGTCCAAACCACCTCATCACCACCATAATGCTTTTGTTAATGCCGCACCTTCTCCTAATCTCCAAATTCTCTGTATAATATTCACACCACATACTGCCTTCAAACAACATCTGTACTGCCTCCCGGCTCCTCCTCAATGCAACATTCAAACCCCATGATTCATACCCATACAACAGTGCAAGTATCACTATACTCTGGTACATTCCCTTTTTTTTTTGCCTCCATGGATAAAGTTCTTTATTTCCACAGATGCCTCAATGCATCAACCACTTTTTTTCCCCATCATCAATTCTACACTTCACCTCATCTCTCATAGACCCAACTGCTGACAAGTCTACTACCAAATATCTGAGCATATTTACTTCCTCCATACTCCCTCCAATCTGATATCCAATTTCTCATTCCCTAGATTTTTTGATAATCTCATCACTTGCTCTATCCCATGTTCACTTTTAATTTCCATTTTTTTTTAACACGTTCGCCAGCCATCTCCCACCAAGGCAGGGTGACTCAAAAAATAAACACTTTCACCATCATTCAACACTTTAACCATCATTAACACATAATCACTGTCACTCCAAACGGCCAATATCCCAAACCCCTCCTTTAAAGTGCAGGCATTGTATTACCCACCTCCAGGACTCAAGTCTGACTAACCGGCTTCCTTGAATCCCTTCACAAAATATTACCCTGCTCATACTTCAACAGCTTGTCAGGTTCCAAAATCCATTTATCTCCATTCATTCCTATCTAACATGGTCACATGCCTGCTGCATGTACAAGCCCCTTGCACACAAAACCTCTTTTACCCCCTTCCTCCATCCTATCCTAGGACAGCCCCTACCCCTCCTCCCCTCTGCTACAGATTTATACACCCTTTAAGTCAATCTATTTTGCTCCATGCTCTCTAAATGACCAAACCACCTCAATAACCCCTCTTTAGCTTTCTGAATAATACTTTTAGTAACTCCACACTTCCTCCTAATTTCCACACAATGAATTCTCTGCATAATATTTACACCACACATTGCCCTTAGACATGTCATCTCTACTGCCTCCAGCGTCCTCCTTGCTGCAGCATTTACCCCCCATGCTTCACAACCACATTACAGTGTTGGTAACACTATACTTTCGTACATTCCCTTCTTTGTTTAGGGGTAAATCAGTGAATAGCATTATGTAGGTAGTGCTGTTTGTGGTACATAATAACATATCCTTGAGAGGATGCCAACTGTTTTGGATATTTTTTTGTTATGTGCTGGATATGAGTGTTGAATTTCAAGCTGCTGTCAAGGTGCAAACCCAGAAATTTTCCCTCATTATGTTTGTTTGTATATGTAGGCCTACTAGGTCTCTCATACCAAATTTAAAACCACTAGAATTTATGCATAGATCTATGTGAACAACCCTGGCATCAATAACAAAGAACTATGTATGAGACAGTGAAAGATAAAGTGGTACATTCTCAACAGGTACAGTATTTCATAATGTAGATGAATGGTTCAGAGAGAATGGTTCAGACAGGATGATGAATTAGACACTTATGCAACACTTGGGTATCTTTATTGTGGAAACGTTTTGCCAACCAGTGGTTTCCTCATTCCAGCACAGGGAAGAATGGCTGAAGATCAGAAGGAGTTTGAGGTAATCAGTCCATCAATTTTGACTGATGAATTGATTGCATTAACTCCAGGATGTTATCAGTCCAACAATCTTGATTGATGGACTGATCACATTGACTCCAGGCTGAGGTACTGATTACCTCAAAGTCCTGATCTTCAACCATTCTTCCCTGTATTAGACCGAGGAAGTCATTAGTTGGCAAAACGTTTCCACAATAAAGATACCCAAGTGTTGCACAAGTGTCTAATTCATCAAATTTCATAATAAACATAGCAAAAATATGTAGTTTACCCTTCTTTACCTATGATGAGTTCCAAAAATTTTTCTACTCCCGGAGTCCAGCCTTGAGCCAAGCTCATTTAGATACATATTAAAACAATCTTTATGGACAGAAATCAATATTCTCCAAAGAGGAGAACAATGTATAAAAGCGCTCACCTTCAACGTGTCTGTCACTGAAGCCGTCTTCTCTAGGAGCACAGTTTCATCCTGAGCATCAAGTCTTGTTCGACCGGGTTTTTTGCGAAACACCGAGCCATCTACCCCGAGGAGTGAGGCTAATTTGGCTCCATTTTCAATAATCTGTTGAATGATCCACAGTTCATACAGTAACAAAGTTTATTAAAGATTAAAGCTCCTTCATTTCAGCATGATACAATGTGTGTACAGAGGTGGGTGACATTTAGATGTACATGCAGAAAGCCCTTTTGTTATGCAGAGCATGTCAGGCAAACTTACTTAAATTAGAGATAATGGATAATGAAGTAATACTATATTTCAGTAAGATATAATTGGTAACCATGAGGTTGCCATTGGAAACCATGTTAAACTATGAGGCTACTTACTATCATGGGGTCATATACAACATTGACCATGGAAATTTTTTACTATCATGGAGAAAACACACAACATTACCATGGTAGGTTTTTTACAAAAAAAACCCGATGACACAACATTAATCATGGTAGGTGTTGTTTACTGGACCCCAAAAAATATCCACCAAGGTAGGGTTCTTAAATTATTCTACACCCACCCACATTTGTAGTTACTTACTACAGTTCCCTGCTAATCCAAAAATCTGTAAATACCACAAAATTCTATAAACATAAAAAATTTTTTTATTTTTTGGGCTGCTTTTGATTGCAGAAAACCCTCTCTCTAAAAATACGTTCAACCTTACCTCTATAAATACTGTTCAAATTTTTTTTTTTTTTTTTTTTTTTTAATCCACACTGGCCGTTCCCCCAAGGCGGGTGGCCTGAAAAAAAAAAATTTTCCCCCTCATTCACCCCATCACTGTTCCCAAAGGGGGTGCTTCAACTAATTTTTTTTAAAGAAACATTAACACCCCCCTTAGGTGCGGACTTACTTCCCATCTCCGGGACTAAAAGTCTGGCCTGCCGGTTTCCCTGAACCCCTTCATAAGTTTACTTTGCTCCCCCTTTCCCAACGCACGTCAAGTATTAAAAACCATTTGTCTCCATTCACTCCTATCAAACACCCCCAGCATACCTGCTGGAAGTCCAAGCCCCCCCGCACAAAAACTCCTTTTCCCCCCCCTCTCCAACCTTTCCTACCCGACCCCCTTAAAATTTTTTCTCTGTAAATACTGTTATAAAACCTTTTCTCTATACTGTTCTAACATTATCTCTATAAATATTGCCTTAACTTTTCTTATAAATGTGCGTAACCTTATTAATATTTCAAATGATTAGAAAAAATGTCTGGGAAAAAAAAAAGGGTTTGGGAGTGGGAAATAAGTTAACAGATTTCAAATGAAATCCCCATGATGGTTATAAATTTAAGGGAAAAGTGTGCCTAGCCCAAATTTTCCACAAGAGACATTTAGAAAAACAATGAATAATTAAGTTTTAGTGAATTTGGGAAATCTGATAGTGCTAAAACTTGAACGATCTAATTTACACACAAAACAGAAAAAAAATTTTTGGGAAAGGTTAAAAAAAGACTTAAGTTGTATAACAAAAGTTTTTCCCCATAAAATTTTGAACTCCAGCAGATCAAGCTGCATTCCAGCAGTTGAGAGTCAAAGATCTCTAACTGGGTTTGTCTGTAACGTACATTTAGGGCACGTGGGAATAAATAATGTATATCCAGTTATTTAATACATAGTTTAATTAATCTTGTTGATAAGACATAGTGCAGTAGTGACAATATGTTTGCTGACAATATGGTTTGCATCTTGGAGGCTGAAGTATCGCTTATCTTTTTTTTTTTTTAAATTAAGCCAATCAATTGGGGGGAAGGGGCCCCGAACTGGGGATTTTGTTCGCCGTAAAAAAATGGACGGTATTTAATATTTTAAAACCATTTCCTCCTTTGATTCTGTGATTTTTGTCCTTGGCATCATATATTACAGTGGAACCTCAGTATGTGACCTTAATTCATTCCAGAAGGCTGTTCGAGTGCCGCTCCGTCTGAGCACGAATAAATTCTTCCCCTCCAATTTTTGTTTTTGGTTTGGGTGTTTTTCACTAATTTTTGTAGGCCCCCTGGGACTTATACAAATAAAAAAAAAAACCCCAAAAAATGTGAAGAAACAAAAACAGTTTACGTACAGCAAAAATTTTTGGAGGGCAATTTTTTTGGGCAAGTGCTGAGCTTTGCCAGAGGGGGGGTCGTATCCAAGGTTCCACTGCAATTTTAAAAAAAAGCATTACACTCTTTCTCAATGGGCTGAAATTACAGTGGACCCCCCGGGTTTAAAGATATTTTTTTTACTCCAGAAGTATGTTTTAGGTGCCAGTACGACCGAATTTTTTCCCCCTAAGAAATATTGTGAATAGATTAGTCCTTCAGACCCCCAAACTACAGCAAACGCATTACATAAAAAACACTTACATAATTTGGGCGCATTCGAGGGAATCGTTATGCGGGGGGCCACTGTATTTACGTCGGAATTTCTTTTTTTTAAAGAATACAAAATCCCGTATAACCATGTTGGGCTTTCTCTCAGCTCTCTGATGTGCTGGTGCATGCATAATGGAACCATTTATTACATGTAGAATTAGGTGAATTATACTGAAAAAATACACATTGCAGAACAAGCTTTTATGGGACAACATTTCACTCTATAGTTTTATCTAGTCACGATTTGATAACATTATAACAGAGTGAGATAATGTGCCAATAGCACTCATATACATGTACCATTATGGCCTCATACACTAGTCACTCTTATTTATAGCTGAAATCCCCCATTACAGTGATTTGTGCTATTTCTTCAGAGTCACTTTTTAATAACAGTTTTCTCTGGCTGTTAACCCTTTCAGGGTTTGCCGTACTAGTACGGCTTACGCGCCAGTGTCCATGACGTTCTAGTATGCATAAATTCTAGCGCCTTCAAATCTAGTGAGAGAAAGCTGGCAGGCCTACACTGAAAGAATGGGTTAGTGGTCAGTTTGCGCAGTATAAAAAAAAAAATCCTGCAGCCACAGTGCATAATGAAAAAAAAAAAAATTTTGACCTGTTTTTGGTTAAAAACAGGCTTGCACATTTTCGTATGGTTTTTATTTTTATTCTAGTTTTCCTGGCCCAAATGAAAAAAGGGAAAGGAAATTTTACAGAAATTGAGTGATTTGCGGGTTTTACAATAAAAAGTCCCTTAAAATTTTGCTCAAGTAGCAAAATTTTTCGATTTTTACCAAAGTTCAAAATAAAAAAAATCATGCTAAGGTCCAATTACGTCAACTGGTGAGCTAATTTTTCTTTCACAAGTGCTCAATATTATTTTACCATTTCACACTAAGCAGTATTTGCAAAAACATAAATTTTATTTTTTTTTTGTGAAAAAAAAAATTAAAAGTGGAAAGCAAAAGAAATGTAAGAGGGGCCTGGGGATGTGTAATGAACAGGAATGTCTTTCTTTTTATTCTGGATCCTATTTGGAAATTGGCTCTTTTTAAATTTGTTTTAAATTGGCAAAAAAGCAAAAATTTGACCACTGTATTTGGGTACTAAATCGGTAAAATTGGGGGTTTCTTGTACTCTTCGATAAAAAAAAAGGGTTCTGGCAAAATATTAGATTTTTGTCAACTGTACTTGGAATTGGCCGAAAAAAAGGGCTCAAATTGGGCAAAATCGCCGATGCATAAACATCAAGACCGCTAACTTCATGAGAGCATAATTCTGTAAGTTTTCCATCAAATTTCATACTTTTGATGTCGTGATCGGGAAAAAATTCTCTATCTTTTCGTAAGAATTTTTTTTTTTTTTTTTTTTTTTTTTAAATTTGGGGGGACCCTGAAACAAGTCTCGAAGGGGGCCCGTGGACCCTGAAAGGGTTAAGTAGTTCTTTATATATCTAGCAACTTTTTTCTTTCCATGTAATTCTAAAAAGGAGACTGAATGTATTCACAAATAGTTTTTCTTCTCTCTTCTGGTCTCTACTTCTAAAATTTTGACATTATTTGTATTTTGAGCTTTTAAATTTCCCTACCTAAGAATCTTTTACCAAAAATTTCAGGGGCCCCCTCCCTTTTTTAATCTGTTTAACACCAAAATGAGAAGTAAACTCTCAAATACTATCTTTTATACAAGGAGATTTTTTCCCAAAACTTTTTTTAGCTGAAGGAAGTTTCAGACAGTTGTTTATGTTAGGGTTTGCCAAGTCATCAATGTTACAATGGTATAAAAAAAATGACAATTTGATAAGTAAGATACTTATGCAATAGTTGGATATTTTTATTGTTGAAACGATTTTTCCTATGTGGTAGGTTTCATCAGTCGAATATGGAGAATAGATTGTAGGCAGCAGAGTAGTGGTGAGGTAAAGACGATATAATCAGCCTTGGAGAAATAGTTTGAAGTGGTCAGTCCCTCAGCCTGGAGAAGAGTTCAGCGAGGAACTGACCACCTCAAACTATTTCTCCAAGGTTGATGGATTGATTACATCATCCTTACATTGTCACTATTCCTACTGTCTACAATCCATTATTTGTATTTGACTGATGAAGCCTACCACATATATGAAACATTTCAACAATAAAGATATCCAACTGTTGCATATGTGTCTTATTCATCATCAGGAAACAATAAATATTTCCTGACGTGGGTCTTAGTGATATGATGACCAGCAACTGAAGCCATCTGTTGGATTACCAGTCCACCTTCTTTTAAAATTAAAATATTCTAGACAGATTGTTTTACCCAATGGTTCACCAAATACCACATAAAAAGCAGTTTTTATTCTTAAGATACATATGTACTATAATGCAGACAATAGAGGGAAACTAATAGTAATACAGCACTTACCTCTGTGTCCAGGTCTGCTCCAGTAGCATGACGGAACTTAACCATTCTTACTTCAAACTCGTTGATCATTTTAATAGCACCCTCCTGTAAATAAATTTCTATTTTATCATACTTGCCAAAAAACTATTATTTAAATTTCATTACTTTCTCAAGTTGTATACATATTCGTTGTTTAGAATTTAATAAAATATTAGTACACAAATCATTAATCAGCAAAATTTTTTTAACAAAAAATCTATGTACTGTGTACCTAAATCTAATATTTTCTTCTCAGTAACAAAAATAACTCACCTGATATTCTTTGTGTTGCTTGATAATACACTTAGCAATACATTATCAGTATTGCTACCTGACCCATGAAAGAATTTGTTATTTTCATGGCTACAATATAATCCAATAGCTAGGATGAACAAAACCCATCAACAAACAAGAGGGACTCAAAATCTCATAATGAAAATGATTTGATATGCAGTTCAAGACTGACTTAAAACAAGACACTATGGAAGAATGTAAAGATTCACTGAAACAATGTTTTGGAGACCAAGTTTCTTCAAGCTATAGAGTACAATACAGGTACCATCCGACTTACGACCGAGTTCGGTCCCAAGAAACCTGTCATAAGTCGAAATGGACGTAAGTCGAACTTTACTACTGAATATCAACATCACATTTTTGTAATGACTTTATTTTATTGTTTTATTTTACTTTTTATGCTGTTAGTACTGTATTTTATACCGTAAGGTTTAGGGTAAACACTGTGTACAACACAAACAGTTGTTTATTTCCCAGAAATTTGGCATAAAAAACACGGTCGTAAGTCGAGTGGTCGTAAGTCGAGCAGGTCGTAAGTCGGATGGTAGGTGTACATGGTACACCTGGATCTATATAGTCAGGAGAGCAGGTGATGAGGAGATTTAAGGTGCAAAGCTATGTAACATCATGAGGGCAATGGGGGTCTGAGAGCCAGGAGTCCTTTCAACTGGAAACTTCTTTGGCTCTAGGGTAATGGTGTCGTTGGCATGAATGATCATCAATTCCAGGCACTTTCTTCTTTTTCTGTTTTTTTCACTGATAACCATGCTTCCCCTGGGCTAATTCATATGGTGTGTAGTGTTAGAATGTAAAACACAGGCATTATTGGTGTTAATGGCACAGCAAGCATGTGCTCATACTTGTGCGTAGACAAATCCATAGCTGTCCCATCCTCTCATCCACATATGTTTTTACCCAGGGCTTCCAAGAGAAATTTTGCAAGGCAGAACAAGGCTACTTTGGGGCCCCTGGGGGCAGGCTGAGGCTTCTCTCAAAATTGAGAATTTGAAGTTCAATAAAACCATTGGTAAACTTTCATAAATGCTTTATTTTCTGCACAGCAAAATGACCAGATAACATATACAGTACTACTTTATACATATACTTTATAGATTCTGAAAATTTTTGTTGACCTATAACTATACAGGTGCCTAAATTTTTAAACATTTAATAAGATCTTTCAAAGTAAAATAAATTCTTAAAAGTTTAACATTTATTTAGACTACTTAGTGAAACGAGCTTTTCTGGCTGTTTTGTCTGCAAAATTTCTAATAACACTATCAAAATAAATTTATCTGGCAATGCTTGAATCAATACTCAGTCTTGCTAAATCAACAAGTCGGGATTGAGACATAGTAGAACTTAAAAAGTTTTTGATGTGTCTGAGTTTGCTAGAAGATCTTTCTGCTGACACTAGTATAACTGGAATTGTCAACAACATTCTGAAACTACCACAAACATTTGGAAATATCTCACAAAGTTTGCAGTCTTTTAATAAATTTAGCAATTCTGAAGTTTTCAGTTCTGGTTTTCCAAAATTTGCTTTATGTACTAATGGTAAATGTTACAGTTCTGCTGCAAAATCTTCATCATTAAGATCCAGGCCCTGGACCAATGTACCAGCTGAACATCCCTTCTCATAGGCCCTGCAGTTTGATCTACATGGCCAAAACCTTCAGTAAATATCACAACTATGGCTACCTACATACACTTTATTGCAACTACTGCAAGGATTGGAGTAGATGCGAGTGTTCTCCTCAGGCCTTTCATTAACCCTTTTAAATATATTTCTGCTTCAAAATAGCAGATTAACCTCACCAGCACTGACAGGAGTGGAGGAGTGATCATCTTGGACATGGCCAACTACCCCTAAAAGATGATGGATCTCCTTAATGGCTCAAATACATATACCTGTTTCAATAAACATACAAGCAGTTTCAAAGACTGTTCTTCTGAAGGTGAGAAGTATCCTCAAACATTCTTAACAGGAAAGGAAACTTACATATCTGGTACCTGCCAACTTGGGATATACAGTACATGTACATGTATAGTCTCTATAAAACCCACAAACCTGTGGTACCCCTCAGACCTGTTACTTCAGGAAAGGTAGCGTTCCTCTCAATGTAGCTGAGGTTTGGGAAAATAAATTTCCAGTTTGTACTTATTTGCTTGGCACTATCAGTAGTGCACACTTATTGAACAAGAAACTTGCCAGTTTGCATTTCATTTTATTGTTGTTCACCTCATTTACCTGCTCTCCTGAACCTATAAATTTGAAATAGCTTGGTTTCCAAGCAAAACATTCTCTTCATATCCATAAGGGTTTCCATTTTGTTACTGTCTCATTTTATCAGCTTACTGGTTTTATAACCTCTTCCCCAGAAGACTGACTTGCTCATATTTACAGGTCATCCTCAACTTACAAACAAGATACATTACTGGTGTATGTGAGACAGCTTCCTCATTTGTAATCCAAACATCTAAACTGCTCATTGTAGCTACATCATCAGTACTAAACAAGTGAGCAATGCACAAGTAAATCATCCAACATACAAATCAGTTATTTTTACAGAAAACAATAGTACAAAAAATGGTTTTGTTTCACACATGTTTTGACCTACAGATCAGCAGTTGTAAAACTTTCACTGCTTCACTCATGAGGGTGGAGAGTTGTAACCTAGACACTTCTTATATTTTTCATTAATGGGAATTATGAAGATTTTTTTATTATTAACACATCAGCTGTTTCCCACCAAGGCAGGGTGGCCCAAAAAAAGAAAAACTTTCATCATCATTTACTCCATCCATATCTTGTCAGAGGCATGCTTACACAACAGTTATAAAACTGCAACATTAACATCCCTCCTTCAGAGTGCAGGCACTGTGCTTTCCATCTCCAAGACTCAAGTCTAGCCTGCTGGTTTCCATGAATCCCTTCACAAGTGTTACCTTGCTCACACTCCAACAGCACGTCATGCCCTAAAAACCATTTGTCTCCATTCACTCCTATTTAACATGCATATACATACTTGCTGGAAGTCTGAGCCCCTTCACACACAAAACCTCCTTTACCCCCTCCCTCCATCCTCTCGTAGGCCGACCCCTACCCCGCCTTCCCTCCACTACAGATTTATACACTCTCGAAGTCATTCTATTTTGTTCCATCCTCTCTACATGTCTGAACCATCTCAATAACCCCTCCTCAGCCCTCTGGATAATAGTTTTGATAATCCCGCACCTCCTCCTAATTACCAAACTACAGATTCTCTGCATTATATTCACACTACACATTGCCCTCATACATGACATCTCCACTGCCTCCAGCCTTCTTGTTGCAACATTCACCATCCATGCTTCACACCCATATAAGAGCATTGGTATAACTATACTCTCACACATTCCCCTCTTTGCTTCCATGGATAAAGTTCTTTGTCTCCATAGACTCCTCAGTGCACCACTCACCTTTTTCCCCTCGTCAATTCTATGATTCACCTCATCTTTCATAGGCCCATCTGCTGACACGTCCACTCCCAATTATCTGAAAACATTCACCTCCTCCATACACTCTCCCTCCAATCTGATATCCAATCTTTCATTACCTAATTTTTTTGTTATCCTCATCACCTTACTCTTTCCTACATTCACTTTTAATTTCCTTCTTTTACATATCCTACTAAACTCATCCACCAACTTCTGTAACTTCTCTTCGGAATCTCCCAAAAGCCAAGTGTCATCAGCTAAGAGTAACTGTGACAGCTCCGACTTTGTGTTAGATTCTTTATCTTTCAACCCCACACCTCTTGCCAACACCTGAGCATTCACTTCTCTTACAACTCCACCTATAAATATACTGAACAATCATGTTGACATAATAATCTCCCTCTCTCATACATACTCTAACCTGAGCCTCACTATCCTCGTAAAAACTCTTCACTGCTTTCAATAACCTACCTCCTATTCCATACATTTGCAACATCTGCCACACTGCCCCCCTATCTACCCTATTATATGCCTTTTCCAAATCCATAAATGCCACAAAAACCTCTTTACCCTTATCTAAATACTCTTCACCTATATGTTTCACTGCAAATACTTGGTCTACACACCTCCTACCCTTCCTAAAGCCTCCTTGTTCGTCTGCTATCCTGCGCTCCATCTTGCTCTTAATTCTTTCAGTAATAACTCTACCATACACTTTACCAGCTATACTCAACAGACTTCTTTCAACAAACCGGCCGTATCCCACTGAGGCAGGGTGACCCAAAAAGAAAACCCAGGGGCGTGTATATATTATATATGCCTCTAAATGCATGTGTAGTGTGACCTAAGTGTAAGTAGAAGTAGCAAGACGTACCTGAAATCTTGCATGTTTATGAGACAGAAAAAGACACTAGCAATCCTACCATAACATAACGTAAGCAATCATTTCTTTTTTGTCATCCGCACTACATCCATGCACATTCAAACATTCCAGTTTTATAAAGTTTTTCTTTTTCTTGTTTTTAGTAATTTATACAGAAGGGATGACTTACCCATTGCTCCCAACATTTGGATTAAATGGAATGTTCAAAGAATCAGTGTTGTAAATCAATGAAGAGGATGTTTACAGTACCTGAGAGAATGAATCTTTGGCAGGGGCAGCTCCAGAAACTTTATACAGGAGGGGCTTTGGGGTGGCAAATTGCTTCAAAGATGGGGACAGGGGACCTGTCTTGAGGCTGCATTACTATCTTTATTTAGGGGCTTCAGTCTCCCTTGTGTCCCCTTGGCAGTACCCATGATTTCTGAAATACTTGTAGGACATTATACCTTATCATTGTGGTTGTGCAGAAATATACCATAGTTGAGGCATATGCTGGGATCTCTCTCCTCCAAACGCACAGCTTGCTCATATGCCTGCCGAGCATTCTCTTCATCATCTAAATAAGTAAGGGAAACTGTTTGGATGATAAAAATACTGAATTAGTCAAATGTAAGTCCTGACATGCTGTTGGAATGTGTACATGGTAAAATTTATGGATTTAGGGAAACTGGTTAACCTTACTTGAATCCATTCTATATTCACCAGGCATCTCAGGCCAATCATGCCAAATTTGGAGGCAGGAAATATAAAACGCTGATCTACGTTTGGAGCGCTAGCGGTACAAACGTAGATCTACATTTGAACAGTCTAAGGGTTAAAAAAAATATTAGCTACCTGTGAGACAACATACATAAAATACCCTCTACAAGTCTAAGAACATATTGTCTATTCTCCCTTGTTTGTCCTGCCTAATATACATCATATAACAAAAAATTCAAGCTAGACTTGAGGTGTGCACCAGGGTCCAAGAATTTTCAAAAAATAATTTCATTATTTTTTCTTATGAAATGGTAGAGAATCTTTTTCTGAAAGTAATAAAACAAAAAGTACAAAATTTGATGGAAAATTGACGAAATTATGCTCTCGCGAATTTTGATGTGTCGGCGATATTTATGCATCGGCGATTTTGCCGACTTTGACTCCCATTTTAGGGAAATTACAGTATTCCAGCCAACCAAATTCTTAGCTATTTCACTAGTATTACTTCTATTCTATCGATTGAGCACAAGAAATCGCCAAGTCAACTGTATCAACAACAAAATAAAGTGACCGGAAATTGGTAATTTGTCCAATTTAATGCAAAGTTCAAAATATTCCAATTTCAAAATAGAGTCCAGGATAAACAATGCAGGCATTCCTGGCACTAAACTAACAATTCCTCTGTTCATTAGTTATGTTTTCAGGCTTTACAAATGAATTCCATTTTGATTTTTTATTCACATAATGAATTTTTATTCAAACCAAAAAATAGAAGATTTACTGTTATGCAATACTGTAATAATTGTATAAATAATATCACCACATTTGTGAATGTATATTAGACCCACCAGCTGTCATGTATTAGACTTGTGATGTATTTTGTTTACTCTTGAACATCGGCAAAAATTTAACATTTCTGCTACTTTGAGCTCAGTTTCAAGCCATTTCCAGTACTTAAACCAATCAAAATCATCTCTATTTCTGTAGTAGATCTTCCATTCTATCAAATGAGATCAAGAAATTGTAAATACAACTATAGAAAACATACAAAAAACACTGCAAAGTCGCTGTTTTAATCGAAAATTACGGTCTCAGTTTTTTTCTCTCATTATGCACTGTGTGCTGCAGGATTTGTTTTATGTAGTGCACACATACCACATAGATATCTCTCAAATCTAGGCCCAAATTTACTGCTCACAGCTTATCAGAGTGAGCTGAGCTCATGGCGTAGATCTACGGTTTGGACCTTGAATGTAAAGCCGTAGATCTATGGCACGGACACTGAAAGGGTTAATAGCAAGAAGCATTATTATTATTATTGTTATTATTATTATTATTATTATGCTGAAGTGCTAATCCTGTAAGGGTCATACAGTTTCCTCAAAAATAAAATTGTGATAAAGGATGCACAAAATACACAAACACTTTTATGGGCTTTACTAGAGAATTTAGAAAATATAAAACATCACATCTGGTCATCTTACCTTTGGCTTTCATTACATTGTTAATCCCTAGCATTTAGCACATGATCAGGGGCAAATTTTTTTATTTGTGCTTCAGTCCACTGCTTTTTAGTGAAGAGACTATACAGTGCCAGGGAAATGGGTGGTAAACAAGTTTGATCCAACAAGTTTGATCCAAGGAAGGGAAAGGTATCTCCAATTCTCGGGATACAGAGTCCTTCAGCAGCATTAAGGCACCTCCCTAGCTGGGAAGGAGAGGAACTCCTAATTTAGGCAATTTACTGATCATGTAACTATAAAATATAACAGCTATCATCAGTTGACTGTTGGGCATCACGTTTAAATTTCAGCTGCCTACAGCAGGTTTCTAGCTTTTATCCTAATTTGTTGAAATAGGTTTTATCTAAAAATCATATGAGTGGCAGTGTAGGTATTTCCACTCAATGTACTGTATATCACTGGCTGAGAGAAGGGAAAGAGACAGCCACATTAATAATAATAAAAAGGAGTGTAAGCAAAGTAACATTTATGGATTCAGGGAAACCAGTTAGCTGGACTCAATTGAGTACTGGAGGTAGGAAATACAGTGCCTGCACTCTGAAGAAGTGGTGGAGATATGTTGAAGTTTATGAACTGTAGTATTGGCAGGCCTCTGGAAAGGCAATGATGGAGTGAGTGATGGTGAAAGGGTTTCTTCTTTTTGGGTAACCCTGCCTCAGTGGGAAAATGGTGATGTGTAAAAAAAAAAAAAAGGCCATGAATGACCTAACAAGTTTTCCTAGCACCAGCAACAGGAAAAAGATGAAGTTATAGCAATGAAGTGAGGAAGATGGGATGTTGAAAAGATACTAGACAGCTCTTCTTCACAGCGTACAGAACAATGGAACTAGTTACAAGAGGAGGTAGTAAGAACTAAAACCACTAAAAATTACAAGAAAGTTGTATGATAAACACCGAAGATGAGACTGCTCCTGTTTCCCACAAATAAGTAATTACAAATGCAGCACATATAATTACATACTAGCCAGAAGCATGAAGATGTGTCCTTTGGTAGGTCGCAGGTTGACAGCAGCGGAGAGGAAGTGAAATGCTGACGTATATTGCTGCATTGTGAGATGAACCAGTCCCAGGTTGTAAAGAATCTTCCAGTCAAATGGTGCTAAGTAGTTAGCTCGCTTCAGGCAGCTAATAGACTGAAAAAATTAATACATATCGTGAATTGTTGAGATATTATACTGTATACAGTCTCTCCTCACTTAGCAACGTACTTGTGTACCGATGACCCGAATTTACAACGGGCTCTCTGACCAGTATGCATATCTAAATAATGTATATTAGAGCTGATTTCCTCTATTCAGTTTATTACAATATACAGTACACTACTGTATAAACATTTAAAAATATACTAAAAATGTTATAAATGGTGCAAAGGTGACATTAAAGCAATATCAGAGATGGCTGACATACACCCACTACCATTATAGTATGCTCCTCATTTAATGATGGATTAGTCTACCAACGTGGCATTAACCCTTTCAGGGTCCAAGGCCCAAATCTGGAGTCACGCACCAGTGTCCAAGAATTTTCAAAAAAAAAATTTGTTATTTTTTCTTATGAAATCGTAGAGAATCTTTTTGTGAAGGTAATAAAACAAAAAGTACGAAATTTGGTGGAAAATTGACGAAATTATGCTCTCGCGAATTTTGATGTGTCAGCGATATTTACGAATCGGCGATTTTGCCGACTTTGACTCCCATTTTAGGCCAATTACATTATTCCAATCAACCAAATTCTTAGCTATTTCACTAGTATTACTTCTATTCTATCGATTGAGCACAAGAAAATCGCCAAGTCAACTGTTTCAACTACAAAATAAAGTGATCGGAAATTGTTAATTTGGCCAATTTAACACAAAGTTCAAAATATTCCAATTTCAAAATAGGGTCCAGGATAAACAATGTAGGCATTCCTGGCACTAAACTAACATTTCCTCTGTTCATTAGTCATGTTTTGAGGCTTTACAAATAAATTCCATTTTGATTTTTTATTCACATAATGAATTTTTATTCACACCAAAAAATAGAAGATTTACTGCTATGCAATACTGTAATAATTGTATAAATATCATCACCATATTTGTGAATGTATATTAGACCCACCAGCGACGTGTATTAGACGTGTGAGGTCGTTTGTTTACTCTTGAATATCGGCAAAAATTTAACATTTCCGCTACTTTGAGCTCAGTTTCAAGCCATTTCCAGTGCTAAAACCAATCAAAATCATCTCTATTTCTGTAATATGTCTTCCATTCTATCAAATGAGACCAAGAAATCGCAAATACAACTATAAAAAACATACGAAAAAACACTGCAAAGTTGCTGTTTTAATCGAAAAATCATGATTTCAGTTTTTTTCTCTCATTATACACAGTGTGCTGCAGGATCTGTTTTATGTGGTGCACACATACCACATAGATGTATTCTCTCATATCTAGGCCCAAATGTACCACTCACAGTTTATCAGAGTGAGCTGAGCTCATGGCGTAGATCTACGGTTTGGACACTCACCATAAAGCCGTAGATCTACGGGACGGACCCTGAAAGGGTTAAGAACAGAACTCTGTCATTAAGTGAGGAGAGGCTGAATTATTAGCCAAATAGTACTAAGATATATTTGCTGCACAGTCTCTTTATTAAAAAGTTATTATTATAAAATAACTTATAAATAAACCATTATCAAGCATATGCTTTCTGTAACCAGTACTGAATATCATATTAAAATATTAGACCACACAAAATACAACATAATATAATCTTGCAAGACAACACTTTCAAGAACATCTCTTCACTATGTGCTTGCATAATTTCACTTATCTTTAATATGAACAGTTTACTGGCCATTTCACCTAAAATGACTGGTCAATAACATCATAGAAGGGGCAGTCATTTTCACTATGTTAATCCTTTCAGGGTTTCTGATGTACGTACTAGAACAGCTTCCGCACCAGGGTTATTGACGTACTAGTACACCTAAATTTTAGCACCTTCAAATCAAGCAAGAGAAAGCTGGTAGGCCTACATATGAAAGAATGGGTCTATGTGGTCAGTGTGCACAGTATAAAAAAATCCTGCAGCACACAGTGCGTAATGAGGAAAAAAAAAACTTTGACTGTGTTTTTGGTTTAAAACAGCGACTTTGCAGTGTATTTTCGTATGGTATTTATGGATGTATTCTAGTTTTCCTGGTCTCGTTTTATAGAATGGAAGACATATTACAGAAATTGAGATGATTTTGATTGGTTTCACAATGAAAAGTACCTTGAAATTGAGGTCAAAGTAGCAGAAATGTTCGATTTTTGCCAAAGTTCAAAAGTAAACAAATCATGCCATGCATCCAATACACATCAACTGGTGAGTCTAATATTCTTTCACAAGTGCACTGATATTATTTATATCAATTCTACACTAATGCAGTAGTCTGCATAACAGTAAATCTTCTATTTTTTGAGAGAATAAAAATTCAAAGTGGAAAGCAAAAGAAATGTAAGAGGGGCCTGGGGACGTGAATAATGAACAGAGGAAATGTTATTTTAGTGCCAGGGTTGTCTCTCTTGTTTATTCTGGACCCTATTTGGAAATTGGCATCTTTTGAAATTTGTATGAAACTGGCAAAACTGCTAATTTCTGACCACTTTACTGGATAGTTGAAATTGGTAAATGGGTGGTTTCTTGTACTCATTCAATAGAAAAATGGAGTTCTAGAGAAATAATTATGATTTTTGTCGACTAGTACACTGGCCGAAAATAGGGCTCAAAGTGGGCAAAATTGCTGATGCGTAAACATTGTCGAGACCACTAACTTCGTGAGAGCATAATTCTGTAAGTTTTCCATCAAATTTCATACTTTTGGTGTCATTATGATTGGGAAAAGATTATCTTTTCAAAAGAAAAAATAATTTTTTTTCTGAAAAATTTTCGACCCTGAGAACAAGTTTAAGAGAGGGCCTCTTAACCCTGAAAGGGTTAAATATGATGCAGACATTACAGAAAATTTATCAGCCAATAATATGAATACAGATTTCAAATTTCTCAGGCTTGATTTCACTTCCTTGATTACGAAAGCACCAGTAAATGATCTTGGACTACCGTGCTAAAGAATCTGTGTTCAACAACAAGCTCTTCCTGATAGATTAGACACATGTGCACCTCTTGGGTATCTTTATTGAGGAAACATTTCGCCACACAGTGGCTTCATCAGTCCATACAAAGGAGAATCTTGAAGAACAGGAGGAGAATGAGGTAATCAGTCCCTCAACCTTGAGTCGATGTGGTCAGTCCATCAATCTTGAATAGAATACGGCATAAGTGTGGAGAAGGAGCTTATAAACCGTAGGCAGGAGAGGTGCAGCAGTCGAACTTGCACACGAAAATCACTCACTACGAAAGCAAAAGACTTAGCAGACGATGCAACATCCCCCCAATGAAAAGCAGGGGTGTCACTAGCACGTTAAGAGACCATACAATAAGTATCAGGGGCCCGAGACTGTTCAACTGCCTCCCAGCATACATAAGGGGGATTACCAACAGACCCCTGGCAGTCTTCAAGCTGGCACTGGACAAGCACCTAAAGTCGGTTCCTGACCAGCCGGGCTGTGGCTTGTACATTGGTTTGCGTGCAGCCAGCAGCAACAGCCTGGTTGATCAGGCTCTGATCCACCAGGAGGCCTGATCACAGACTGGGCCGTGGGGGCGTTGACCCCCGGAACTCTCTCCAGGTAAACTCCAGGTGTCACATTTGTTCAATGTGGAAGTAGGTCATGCCCAAGGGTTAGGCAAGCGAAGAATTCCCAAGTATTAAGATCCCAAGAAGTTGCAGTGTCTGACAGGATTGTAGATGAATGGTTCAGAGAACTGACACGTTGATAAATTAGACACATGTGCAACTCTTGGGTATCTTTATTGAGGAAACGTTTTGCCACACAGTGGCTTCATCAGTCCATTGTATGGACTGATGAAGCCACTGTGTGGCAAAACGTTTCCTCAATAAAGATACCCAAGAGTTGCACATGTGTCTAATTTATCAACGTGTCGGTTCTCTGAACCATTCATCTACAACAAGCTCTTCCTAAAGAAATTTTTGGGATGATTTTTTGGTTTTTGCTTGAATTATGGTATATGTACTTGGAAATTTTGGAAAAAAAAATAATTTTAATAAACATTCTCCTGCCCAATGCAAAATGGATGAGATGTTATGATGACCTTTTCTTATGGCCATGTACAAAATGATATGATAACTTTTTTTTTTTTTTAACATGTTGGCCATTTCCCACCGAGGCAGAGTGACCCCCTAAAAAAAAAGAAAAATTCAAAAAAGAAATAAAAACCCAAAAAGAAAGAAAAAACTTTCATCATCATTCAACACTTTCACCATCACTCATACACAATCACTCTTTGCAAAGGTGCTCAGATATGACAGTTTAGATGTCCCTCCAAACTACCAATACCCCAAGCCCCTCCTTTAAAGTGCAGGCATTGTACTTCCCATTTCCAGGACTCAGGTCCGGCTAACCAATTTCCCTGAATCCCTTCATAAAATATTACCCTGCTCACACTCCAACAGCTCGTCAGGTCCCAAAAACCATTTGTCTCCATTCACTGCTATCAAACATGCTCATGCACGCTTGCTGGAAGTCCAAGCCCCTTGCTCACAAAACCTCCTTTACCCCCTCCCTCTAACCTTTTCGAGGACGACCCCTACCCCGCCTTCCTTCCCCTACAGATTTATATGCTCTCCAAGTCATTCTACTTTGTTCCATTCTCTCTAAATGACCAAAACACCTCAAAAACCCCTCTTCAGCTCTATGACTAATACTTTTAATAACTCCATACCTCCTCCTAATTTCCACACTATGAATTCTCTGCATAATACTTACACCACACATTGCCCTTAGACACGACATCACTGCTTCCAGCCGCCTCCGCGCTGCAGCATTTACAACCCATGCTTCACACCAACATAAGTGTTGGTACCACTATACTCTCATACATTCCCTTCTTTGCCTCCATGGATAACATTTATTGTCTCCATAGATACCTCAATGCACCACTCACCTTTTTTCCTTCATCAATTGTATGGTTAACCTCATCCTATGCTATTTATGCCTGGGGATCAACAGCAGCAACCCACCTAAATCCAATAATAACCCAACAAAAAGGTGAAGTAAGAATTATCACACAATCCAATGCTAGATAACACAATCCCCCACTCTTCAAAGATCTAAACTTACTCACTGTATAAAACATTTACACCTACTACTGTGCAGCCTACATTTACAGAACCATAAATTCTAATATTAACCCTGAACTAAAACACTTCTTGATAGTTGAAACATGATCCATAGACACAATACCAGACACAAATATCTCTATGACATTCCTCGTGTCCAGCTAAATCTCTACAAAAACTCAATGTACGTACATAAAAGAGCCTAAAATCTGGAACTCCCTGCCAGAAAACTCTAAACTGCAGACTCAACCACCATTTTCAAAACTACCTTTAAAAAACATCTTATCTCCCTAACACACCCCATCATTGGCTATGTGAAAACCACCTATTCTCTTTTTTGTATCACAAACACATCCAAACAAAATAGACTTACTCTTGTTATCTGTAATTCCCCCTAATTTACACTTACATTCACCCAAATGACTGTAAACATAAAATTCCTAATATAGCTTTTGCCTAATAAATCTTAAGTTAGTCCTAAGTTTGCCTGAAATACTCTCCCAACATAGGAGCTTTTATAGAAATAGTGTATCATGCCGAGATAAAACCATTCCCATTACTAAATTTACTAATTATAATATTGTTATATCCTAGGTAGTAGGTTGGTAGACAGCAACCGCCCAGGGAGGTACTACCGTCCTGCCAAGTGAGTGTAAAACGAAAGCCTGTAATTGTTTTACATGATGGTAGGATTGCTGGTGTCCATTTTTCTGTCTCACAAACATGCAAGGTTTCAGGTACGTCTTGCTACTTCTACTTACACTTAAGTCACACTACACATACATGTACAAGCATATATATACACACCCCGCTGGGTTTTCTTCTATTTTCTTACTAGTTCTTGTTCTTGTTTATTTCCTCTTACCTCCATGGGGAAGTGGAACAGGATTCTTCCTCCGTAAGCCATGCGTGTTGTAAGAGGCGACTAAAATGCCAGGAGCAAGGAGTTAGTAACCCCTTCTCCTGTATATATTACTAAATGTAAAAGGAGAAACTTTCATTTTTCCTTTTGGGCCACCCCGCCTCGGTGGGATACGGCCGGTGTGTTAAAAAAAAAAAAATATTGTTATATGTTTTGTATCACCTCACTATTATCAATCTACTTAATGTTAATCACGTCATTTACCTAACTTTTATATCAGTATACAATAATTTATATTAAAGTGTACAGCTCCATAACCTGTGTCCAAATAAAGTAAGATTTAAAATTTGTCTGCCCAAAATGCCTAGGCATGCTAGTGGCCTTCTTTGTAATTAATATTTTATAGTATGTAAACCATACATTGTAAGCTTTGCAAGGAAATAAACATTTTCAGTTTCATTTTCATCCTTCATAAACCCATCCACTATCAAGTCAGTGACCAAATGCATAAGAAAATAATTAACTTTTTACACAGCTTAAAATTACTGACCCCAAATTAGAGATGAAATGATGATGGTGTGAGCACACATTCAGACACTAACACACATGATGCGGGCAGTCAATGACCCCGCTGCCCAAGAACAATGAAAGTGGATCCGTCCTGGAGGAATCTTGGACTGTACAAGCATGTGATTAAGAAGAGATGGCCTGTTTTATCAAATGCATGACCGGACCTGATAGCTGTTTGATATAGTAATAGATCTGGTCTGTTTCATGGCTATTTTATTCAGACATCCCATCAAATGTACATGTTCAACCTTTGTCCAGCCAGAATTTTTGTCTATCTTAACCAACATCCATTTTATCAGACCTTTATCATACTCCACTTTCAGTCACTTTAAATAGTGTCAATGCATGGAAGGTGTAAATAATATAATAAACAGAAAGAATAAATAAGATAATATACAATATGTTAATATATTCAACTGCTAATAGATTAAATTTTTTCATAGATTTTGTACTAAGACTGACTATGCTCTCCTGTCTATTATACAGCACCTGCAAAGGATAAAGTGCTATCCTTTGAGATCCAAAACACAAAGCATGCATTCACATAAAACATTTTACTTTTGCAAGACAATAATTTATATAGTATATAGTACACTTTCTCCATGGGGAAGGGGAACAGAATTTTTCCTCCGTAAGCCATGTGTGTCGTAAGAGGCGACTAAAATGCCAGAAGCAAGGGGCTAGTAACCCCTTCTCCTGTATATATTACTAAATTTAAAAGGCAAAACTTTCGTTTTTTCTTTTTGGCCACCCCACCTCAGTGGGATACGGCTGGTACGTTGAAAGAAGAATATAGTACACTTACCACATTTTAATACTATTGATTTTATTGTTGATAACAATTCATAACCATCATTCCAACATACATCTAACCCACAACTGAGAAAACATTTCAGTTCATCATGAAGCATTAAGTCTCAAGTGACATATCATCATGGTCCAGGACGAACCAAAATGTTGTTAAAGTTTTCTTCCCAAATTGCGAGTAAGTTGTGAACTGTTCTAACCATGTTTTACTTACTTACCTTTTTCTTTTGGTAGAATAATATAAAACCCACAAAATTTACTTACCGCTACATATTTCCTCTTGCCAAAAAAACACATGGCAATATTATTCCAGAGGGGTGGAGATTCAGCAATGGACTGAGCAGCTACACGGTACTTGGCCAATGCTACATCAAAGTCTTGGTGGCTCTGTTAAAATGAATTATATTTTTACTTAATGCAGTAACAATTAATTTTAAAAACATTGTTTCATGCTGTTTTAGGTGAAGAAAAATAATACTTTCACCATCATTCACTCAATCATTGTCTTGCCAGAAGTACGCTGACATCACAGCTCAGATGACCCTCTGAACTGCAACACCCCCACCCTTCCTTCCAAATGAAGGCACTGTACTTCCCACCTTCAGGACTAACTGGCTTCCCTGAATCCCTTCATAAATGCTACCTTGCTCACACTAACAGCACGTCAAGTCATAAAAACCGCTTAACTTCAACATGTGTCTTGAATGTCCAAGCCCATAGCCCCCAAAACCTCCTTTACTCCCTCCCTCCAACCTTTCCTAGGGCAATCCTTACCCCACCTTCCCTCCACTACAGATTTACACACAATCCAAGTCATTCAATTTTGCTCCATTCTCTCTGTATGTCCAAACCACCTAAATAACACCTTGTCAGTCTTTTGATAACATCTTTAGTAACCCCACACCTGCTCCTAATCTACAAACTACGAATTCTCTGCATAATATTCACACAACACATTGTCCTCAGACATGACATCTCCCCTGCCTCCAGCCTCCTCCTCATTGCAACATTTAAAACCTATGACTCACAAAATCGTAAAGACATGATTGCAAACAAACCATACCACGGGCGGGATTTGAACCCGCGGTCAGAAAGTCGCTAATGCGACGGTCTGGAGTTTTGAGACTCTCTGACCACGGGTTCAAATCCTGCCCGTGGTATGGTTTAAAACCTATGCTTCAAACCCATACAAAAGTGTTGGTACCACTATACTCTTTTTGCCTCTAAGGATTACGTTCTCTGTCTCCACAGACATCTCAATGCATCACCCTCCTTTTTCTCTTCATCAATTTGATGATTCACCTCATCTTTCTTAATACCCTGCTCACACTCCAACAGCTCATCAGGTCCCAAAAACCATTCATCTCCATTCACTCCTATCAAACATGCTCATGCACGCTTGTTGGAAGTCCAAGCACCTCGGCCACAAAACCTCCTTTACCCCCTCTCTCCAATTTTTTGGGGGACAACCCCTATCCCACCTTCCTTTCCCTATAGATTTATATGCTCTCCATGTCATTCTACTTTGTTCCATTCTCTCTAAATGACCAAATCACCTCAACAGCCCCTCTTCAGCCCTCTGACTAATACTTTTAGTATCTCCATACCTCCTCCTAATTTCCACACTACAAATTCTTTGCATAATATTTACACCACAAATTGCCCTTAGACACCACATCTCCATTGCCTCCAGCCGCTTCCTCGCTGCAGCATTTACAACCCATGCTTCACACCCATAATATCCCGCTATTGGGCCGTGCGGACATGCTGCGCAGTAGCTCCTGATAGAGTTGGCTTTTGCTCAGTGTTGACGTGTACATAGCTCTGTGAAGACCTGTTTGCGCGCTCTCTACGAATTGAAGCAAGATGCCCTCCATCGAGCAACTTTACCAACAGCTTAAGGAAGAATTGAGGATGGCGAAGTTGGAGATTCGGCGACTGACCGAGGAAAACAAGAAGATTTGTAGTAGTCCTCCTGTTTTGAGTCCTCAGGTCAAGAAGGGAAACTGGTCAGTGGCTGGACAGCAGGGAACGAAGTTGATGATCAAGAAGACGAATGGAAAGGTAGAAACGATGAAGAAGAGACTGCTGTGGAAACTGTTGTGGAAACATCTAATACATTCTCAGTGCTACCCGACGAATGTGAGTCGACTACTGGGAACATCACGACGAACGACACCAAGGAAGGTAAGAATATTGTTGTTGTTGGGGATAGCCAAGTTAGGTATATGGATAGGGCGTTCTGCTTGAAGGACAGGAGTAGGAGACAGTTAGATAAGTTAAGATTCAGATAAGTTTAGATTTAGATAAGTTTAGATTCAGAAAGGACATAGGAAAGTATTGGTTTGGAAATAGGGTAGTAGATGAGTGGAACAGTCTACCTAGTTGGGTTGTTGAGGCTGGGACTTTGGGTAGTTTCAAATTTAGGTTGGATAAGTACATGAGTGGGAGGGGTTGGATTTGAGTGGGACTTTCACATCAGAGCTTATTTCTTGGGTGGCATTGAAAATTGGGTTGGGCAAATGTTTTGTTAGTGGGATGAATTGTAAAGGACCTGCCTAGTATGGGCCAACAGGCCTCCTGCAGTGTTCCTCCTTTCTTATGTTCTTATATAAGAGTATTGGTACCACTATACTCTCATACATTCCCTTCTTTGCCTCCATGGATAACGTTCTTTGTCTCCACAGATACCACAACGCACCACTCACCTTATTTCCTCCATCAATTCTAAGGTTAACCTCATCCTTCTTAAACCCCTCCGCTGACAAGCCAACTCCCAAATACCTGAAAAAATTCACTTATTCCATATTCCCTCCCTCCAATGTGGTATCCAACTTTCCTTTATCTAAATACTGTTCATTTATATGCTTTAATATGAACACTTGGTCTACACATCCCATACCTTCCCTAAAAACCTCCTTGTTCATCTGTATATTCTGCTATCTGTGTTACACTTAATTCTTTCAATAATTACTCTACCATACACTTTAACTGGTAAACTCAACAGGCTTATTCCTGTAATTCTTACCCTCTCTTTTATCCTCTTTTCCTTCATACAAAGAAAAGAGGATACATGATCTCTGCCAATCCCTGGGTACCTTCCCCTTTTCATACATTTATTGAACAAAAGCACCAATCACTCCAAAATTATATCCCCACCTGCTTTTAAAATTTCCATTTTGATCCCATCAATCCCAGCTGCTTTACCTCTTTTCAGTCCACCTACTGCTTCATGCACCTCTCCTCCACCCACATTTAGTTCTTTCTCAAAATAGTACCTATAATGTCATCTAATGTAAAAAATTAGTACCTATACACTTACTAGAATATAACCCAATTATTTTTTTCTTATAATCATGTACAATGATATGCTCTTGTAGTGTTAAGTTAGGTTTAAGCTTGCCCAAAATGCTCTGCATAGACATGGGCTTTCAATATGCACTCAAGTGTCACCCATCTCTGTATAAACAATGTTTCATATTAAAGTAAATTGTGTTTGTACTTGAATTTGTAAATGATGTTCTGCTTACCTACCTCCCTCCATCCCTCCCTACCTACTTCCCTATCTACCTACTTATCTACTTACTTACCTCCCTCCCTCCCTCCCTCTTGATCAAAATATTCCCTCCATCTTTCCAATACCTTCACTTCCCCATCTAATCACTCTCCTCTTTCGTTTTTAACTGTTCAATCCAGGTTACAGTGGTAATGAACTACTTATATGATTTTGATTGGTTACAGTTGTAATGAATTGATAAAACAGGCATGAATTCAGTCACAAACATTACAACGTGGTTTTGAATTATCAACAAGTAGTAGTAGACATGTTAGAATGGAGTGAATGACACAAATGGTCAATAGAACCACACAAGTGTATTAGAATAGAGTAAGTGGCCCATGGCCTGGTGGCAAAAAGTTCTGCTTCACACGCTGAGGGTATTTTTCTTTATACCTGTTGTCCATGTTCACCCATCAGTAAAAATGGGCAGCTGGGTGTTAGCTGACTGGTGTGAGTTGCATCCTGGGACAAAACTGACCTAATTTCCCTGAAATGCTCTGCATAACAATGGCTTTCTATGTAGTAGTATGTCACTGATGTCAGTTAGGCCTCTATACTTTGTACATGTACTTGTAGAAATAAAGATATTACTGCTATATTACAAACTTGCAGTTATTGTGTGGACAATGTAAGGTTTATGAAAGGAGTCAGGAAAACTGGCAAGTCAAGCTTGAGTTATGAGAGATGGGGTGTAGAGTGCTTACAATGTAGTGTGAGGTGTGGCTCTCACTTTGTCATGGTAAACATTATCCTGGAAATATAAACACATATGCAGTATAATGTGATCCTTTATTGACAACGTTTTGCCCACACAGTGAGCTTTTTCAAGTCACAAACAGATCTACCTGGGGTGGAAGGTACGCGAGTATTTATAGTCAGGTTCAGAATGCTGGGTCAGGTGGAGAATGCTGCATCTGATGATCTACCGAGTGGGGTTATAGAGTATAAAATCTTGGGTAGCTTGGAAGGGAGATTGGATAAGTATGTGAGTAGACCTTCTGCAGTGTTCCTCCATTCCTATGTTCTTATGTGGGATAGTGATGAAGAAGTTTCTTGGCAAGTGGTTCAGCTATGTTATAGAAGCCATTGTTTTGGTTGAAGTTGTTGGATATGGAGATAAGTGATGATTCCAAGAATCTTGGAATCATGGATATGGAGATAAGTAGTTCAGCTATGTTATAGAAGCCATTGTTCTGGTTGAAGTTGTTGGATATGGAGATAAGCGATGATTCCAAGAATCTTGGAATCATCGCTTATCTCCATGTCCAACAACTTCAACCAGAACAATGGCTTCTATAACATAGCTGAACCACTTGCCAAGAAACTTCATCGCTATCCCACATAAGAACATAGGAATGGAGGAACACTGCAGAAGGTCTACTCACATACTTATCCAATCTCCCTTCCAAGCTACTCAAGATTTTAGACTCTATAACCCCACTCGGTAGATCATCAGATGCAGCATTCTCCACCTGACCCAGCATTCTGAACCTGACTTTAAATACTCGTGTACCTTCCACCCCAGGTAGATCTGTTTGTGACTTGAAAAAGCCCACCGTGTGGGCGAAACGTTGTCAATAAAGGATCACATTATACTGCATATGTGTTTATATTTCCATTGTGTCGGTATTTTATACCATTTATTTCCAAACATTATCCTACTGGAAATGTGGCTAGATATAATTTGATAGCAAATATCTTTTTCATCTTTGGATTATCCTGTCTTGTTAAGAAGAGGCAGATAATTTAAACAATGTATAGAAAACAACAAAATATCATAATACTACAGTAAGCTCTCTTATGAAGCTCCGCTATACACTGCAATTTTTTGCACATGTAACTGAAAAAAAAAATACATCCACCATTAAAATAGCACATGAAAAGGTGTACATACTACATGCTATTCAATTTTGGATGCTATTTTTCAATAGCATTTTAAAAAAAAAAATGACACAAAGAAGAGGAGCTTCATAAGAGAGCTTACTGTGTAAATTAGGTTACAAAAATCTTAAGTTATAAGAACAAGGTAAATTACCCTCTCAGAACTTAACCACGTGATTCAGAAAGTTTAATTTGAAACTTACGTTCTAATGCGACTTACCTGCATCATTGAGCCAGCAGCAAGAATGGCTCGTGTGTTATTTGGATCAAAGGTAAGAGTAGTTCCCAGGTGCTCAAAAGCTTGTTGGTATTTACCTGTCTGCATGTAGAGCAGACCCAGAGCAGTGTGCAGGTCTCCATTTTCAGGGAAATACCTAAAATAAATGTTATTCTGTAAAGGTGAAGAGTGTATTATGAATTTAAGAAATGGAAATTAATTATTATAGACCGAATAAAAAAAATGTGAAAGAAGACTGTAGGTGCTGAAGTACATTAGAAATTTTGCAGACAATCACAAAGAAATTGTTTTAGATAGAAGTGAGTGGAGGTAAATGGTTTTTGGAACCTGAAGAGCTGTTGGACTGGGAGCAAGGTAACTTTTGTGAAAGAATTCAGGGAAACTGGTTAGCAAGACTTGAGTCTTAGAGGTGGGAAAAGTAGTTCCTGCACTTTGAAGGAGGGGTGGGGATATTTGCAGTTTGAAGGGATTGAAACGTGTATATGCTATGCTATGGAAGCAGTAAAAAAGTGTTGAATGGGGAAAGTGGTTTTAAATTACCACCTTAGACTGGTGGAAATGCAGGGGTCACCTGATCCGAGGTGGTGAGACGCCACCATTTAAAAAAAAATCATGTACATAAATATAAAAATGAAAGGACATGGGTTTGAATCAAAGAGTGGTATGCCTAGATATACATCCTGCTGAATCCCATTCTGGTCTGACAGGTGCGCCATGATCATCCACGAACTGCAGACATATTAAAATAAAATAATGCCTAATACTTCCTGTGGTATGATCATTTTATAAGATATCATTTACCTAATGATTTATTGACAGTAGAATCTCAATGTATATTTGTTACTAGACTTTACCTACAAGTAACTTAACTACTGCATTAGCAAATCATTATGGATCATAGCAGCTGGTACAGCAGTAAAAATATTAGTACATTGCTGCCAAAAGCAACACCAGCAACAGTCATCACTGTTTCCTTTTAACATTTATTAGGTAAGCAAACATAAGCAGCACTGTAGTTTTCTTTGAATAACTAAACATGACCCTCTGCATAAGCACACTTTTTCATACTCTGAAAGGGGTCCCTATAATTTTTTAAGGTGTTGGTATCTCACACCATTACTCTACATACACACATCATAGGTGTTATATATACAGTAATTGAAAAAATACATTTTTAAATTATTGTAGGAGATAATATTACAAACTGAGAGGAAGCAGGTAGCCTGCAGCTTGCATCATCATCATCATCATCACTACCTTTTTTTTATTTTTTTTCCAACAAGTCGGCCGTCTCCCACCGAGGCAGGGTGACCCAAAAAGAAAGAAAATCCCCAAAAAGAAAATACTTTCATCATCATTCAACACTCACACATAATCACTGTTTTTGCAGAGGTGCCCAGAATACAACAGTTTAGAAGTATATACGTATAAAAATACACAATATATCCCTCCAAACTGCCAATATCTCAAACCCCTCCTTTAGAGTGCAGGCATTGTATTTCCCATTTCCTAGACTCAAGTCCAGTTATATAAAATAACCGGTTTCCCTGAATCCCTTCACTAAATATTACCCTGCTCACATTCCAACAGCTCGTCAGGTCCCAAATACAATTTGTCTCCATTCAATCCTATCTAACACGCTCACGCACGCTTGCTGGAGGTCCAAACCCCTCACCCACAACACCTCCTTTACCCCCTCCCTCCAACCAAACAAGCATAGACACATTGTAGCATGGGTAAAGAGGGCATTTAACCCAAGCCTCAGCTTAAGCAACCCCGAAACATTATTTGGAGAATTTGTCTCATGCAGTTTCTCTTTTGACAAACAAATACAGCTGTCTGGATATAGTTCAAATTAGCAATCTGTTCTGTTCTATATCCTAAAATAAGTACAGTCATAATTTATTTTTTTTTCAGAGAAATCTAACATAATTATAAAAACAGTAGTCTGATTGTGTTGTCAGCACATTTCTGGATAGATGGCAACTGAATGATTGATGGTGAATGCATTTGCTTCTTTAGGTCACCTTACTTGGCAGAAGACAGCCAGTGAGTTAAACACAAATAACTAAAAATATAGAAACTACAAAGAAAGCAAGAGAAAAATATAAGCAGATTCAAGTGAAAGGTTAACCCTACAAAACATCAAGACAGACTTTATTTCCCTCTACCATAAATTCCTGGGTAAAACATTGTAATAAAGGTTTCCTTGCACATATTGTCTCTCTCACCTCCAGGACTCAAATCTGGCTCACCAGTTTTCATGAATGCCTTCATAATTTTGAGAGGCTGGGGGAGATATAATCTACAAACTTCAGAAGACAAAGGACCTGGGAGTAAGCACAACATTCAATATGTCACCAGAGGCCCACATCAGCTGAATAACCATGGCATCATATGTGAGCCAGGCAAACTAAATATCATTCAGGTAGTAGGTTGGTAGACAGCAACCACCCAGGGAGGTACTACCGTCTTGACAGGTGACTGTGAAACAGAAACCTGTAACTGTTTTACATGACGGCAGGATTGCTGGTGTCTCTTTTCTGTCTTAGAAACATGCTGGATAACAGGTATACCTTGCAATTTCTACTTACACTTAGGTCACACTACACAGGCAAGCACATGCATATACTGTATATATATATACATACACACATCTAGGGTTTTTCTTCCTTTTCTTAATAGCTCTTGTTTTTGTTTTTTCTCTCTATTGTCCATGGGGAGGTGGAAAAGAATCTTTCCTCCATAAGCCATGTGTGTCGTATCAGGCGACTAAAATGCCGGGAGCAATCGCAAGTAACCCTTTCTCCTGTACACGCTTACTAAAAATCAGAAGAAGAAAAGCTTTATAAAACTGGGATGCTTGAATGTGCATGGATATAGTGCGGATGATAAGAAAGAGATGATTGCTGATGTTATGAATGAAAAGAAGTTGGATGTCCTGGCCCTAAGCGAAACAAAGCTGAAGGGGGTAGGCGAGTTTTAGTGGGGAAAAATAAATGGGATTAAGTCAGGAGTAGCTGAGAGAGTTAGAGCTAAGGAAGGGGTAGCAATAATGTTGAAGGACCAGTTATGGAAGGAGACGAGGGAATATAAATGTGTAAATTCAAGGATTATGTGGATTAAAATAAGGGTCGGATGTGAAAAGTGGGTCATAATAAGCGTGTATGCACCTGGAGAAGAGAGGAGCATACAGGAGAGAGAGAGATTTTGGGAGATGTTAAGCGAATGTATAGGAGCCTTTGAACCAAGTGAGAGAGTAATTATGGTAGGGGACCTAAATGCTGAAGTAGGAGAAACATTTAGAGAGGGTGTGGTAGGTAAGTTTGGGGTGCCAGGTGTAAATGAAAATGGGAGCCCTTTGATTGAACTTTGTATAGAATGGGGTTTAGTTATAAATAATACATATTTTAAGAAAAAGAGGATAAATAAGTACATATAAAAGATATGATGTAGGGTGTAATGACAGTAGTTTGTTGGACTATGTATTGGTAGATAAAAGACTGTTGAGTAGACTTCAGGATGTACATGTTTATAGAGGGGCCACAGATATATCAGATCACTTTCTAGTTGTAGCTACAGTGAGAGTAAAAGGTAGATGGGATACAAGGAAAATAGAAGCAGCAAGTAAGAGAGAGGTGAAGGTGTATAAACTAAAAGAGGAGGCAGTTAGGGTAAGATATAAACAACTATTGGAGGATAGATGAGCTATTGAGAGTATAGGCAATGGGGTCGAAGATGTATGGGGTAGGTTTAAGAATGTAATGTTAGAGTGTTCAGCAGAAGTTTGTGGTTACAGGAAAGTGGGTGCAGGAGGGAAGAGGAGCGATTGGTGGAATGATGATGTAAAGAGAGTAGTAAGGGAGAAAAAGAGGTTTTTACAAAGTAGAAGTGATACAAGGAGGGAAGACTATATGGAGAGAAAAAGAGAGGTTAAGAGAGTGGTGAAGCAATGTGAAAAGAGAGCAAATGAGAAAGTGGGTGAGATGTTATCAACAAATTTTGTTGAAAATAAGAAAAAGTTTTGGAGTGAGATTAATAAGTTGAGGAAGCCTAGGGAACAAATGGATTTGAGTCAAAAATAGGAGAGGAGAGTTATTAAATGTAGAGTTAGAGGTATCGGGAAGGAGGGAATATTTTGAGGAACTGTTAAATGTTGATGAAGATAGGGAAACTGTGATTTCTTGTATAGGGCAAGGAGGAATAACATCTTGTAGGAGTGAGGAAGAGCCAGTTGTGAGCGTGGGAGAAGTTTGTGAGGCAGTGGGTAGAATGAAAGGGGGTAAAGCAGCTGGGATTGATGGGATAAAGATAGAAATGTTAGAAGCAGGAGGGGATATAGTTTTGGAGTGGTTGGAGAGGGTAAGGTACCTAGGGATTGGCAGAGAGCATGCATAGTTCCTTTTTATTAAGGCAAAGGGGATAAAAGAGAGTGCAAAAATTATAGGGGAATAAATCTGTTGAGTATACCTGGTAAAGTGTATGGTAGAGTTATTATTGAAAGAAATAAGAGTAAGACAGAGAGTAGGATAGCAGATGAACAAGGAGGCTTTAGGAAAGGTAGGGGGTGTGTAGACCAAGTGTTGACAGTGAAACATATAGGTGAACAGTATTTAGATAAGGGTAAGGAGGTTTTTGTAGCATTAATGGATTTAGAAAAGGCATATGACAGGGTGGACAGGGGGGCAATGTGGCAGATGTTGCAGGTGTATGGTATAGGAGGTAGGTTACTGAAAGCAGTGAAGAGTTTTTACGAGGATAGTGAGGCTCAGGTTAGAGTATGTACGAGAGAGGGAGATTATTTCCCAGGAAAAGTAGGCCTTAGACAAGGATGTGTGATGTCACCATGGTTGTTCAATATACTTATTTACAGATGGGGTTGTAAGAGAAGTGAATGCTAGGGTCTTGGCACGAGGTGTGGAGTTGAAAGATAAAGAATTAAACACAAAGTGGGAGTTGTCACAGTTGCTCTTTGCTGATGACACGGTGCTTTTGGGAGATTCTGAAGAGAAGTTGCAGAGGTTGGTGGATGAATTTGGTAGGGTATGTAAAAGAAGAAAATTAAAAGTGAATATAGGAAAGAGTAAGGTTATGATGATAACAAACAGATTAGGTGATGAAAGACTGGATATCAGATTGGAGGGTGAGAGTATTGAGGAGGTGAATGTATTCAGATATTTAGGAGTGGACGTGTCAGCAGATGGGTCTATGAAGGATGAGGTGAATCACAGAATAGATGAGGGGAAAAGGGTGAGTGGTGCATTAAACCTGCACCTCTCCAACCTATACCTGCTGATGGAGAACCTTTTGCAGATTTAATTATAGATTGTGAAGGTCCACTACCTAGGTCAAAGTCTGGAAATCAATATTTATTTACGATTATGGATAAATTAACCAGATATCCTGAAGCAATTTCCATGCGCAGTATTAATACCAAAGCTATTCTCAAAGCTTTAACAAAATTCATTTCTTGTTTTGGCATTCCTAAAACTATTCAAAATGATCAAGGTACTAACTTTACTGCCAAAGCATTTAGGGAAGTATTAACTAGGTTAGGGATAATCCACAACTTATCCACTGCCTATCATCCTCAGTCCCAAGGAGCCTTGGAAAGATTCCATCAAACGTTAAAAGCTATGATGAGAACTTTTTGCATGCACTTTCCTACAGACTGGGATGAATCACTACCTTTGTTGCTGTTCTCAGTACGAGAGACGGTGCAAGAGTCTACAGGGTATAGTCCGTTTGAGCTGATCTTTGGGCACAATGTACGAGGTCCTCTTCGGGGTGCTCAAAGAAGGATGGATGGGAGAAGACGTTAGCTCAACACTCTACAACCCATCTTCAAGGTTGCAGGTGGCATGTCAGTTAGCCAAGGCTAACCTAAAGACAGCTCAAAGTAAGATGAAACAGAGGCATGACAGAAGTGCACAATTCCGCTCCTTCCATCCAGGAGACAAGGTGTTGGTGCAGGAACCTATACCTGGCCACACCTTGAAAGCTAGATTTACAGGACCTATGCAGATTGTAAGTAGATTATCTGATGTAAATTATGTGGTAGCTCCCATTGATAAGACCTCAAAAACTAAAACTTACCACATTAATCAATTAAAATATTTCCATACACCAGATAAAGTCCCAGTAATGACTCTGTCCTCTACCTCTGAGGACGACTCTGATTCTTTGCACTTTATCTCTGAAATTAATATTAAACTTTCAAATTCTGTCCTCCTCAAGGATCCTAGCCCTTTAATGGAGGGACTATCTGAAACGCAAGCAACAAATTTAACTGAGCTTCTACAGTCATATCCTAATATTTTTTCGGATGTGCCGAAAAAATGTACGTTAGGTTATCATGATGTAGATGTGGGAAACTCTAAACCAATTAAACTCTCCCCCTACAGAGCTAATTCTGAAAAGCAAAGGTTACTTCAGCAGGAAATAGAATTTTTGTTAAAGCATGGTTTAGTGGAGGAGTCATCTAGTCCATGGGCTTCACCGTGCATCCTTGTGAAGAAGGCTGATGGAGGGTTTCGTATGTGTACAGACTATCGTAAGGTGAATGAGGTCACAATTACAGATGCTTACCCTCTTCCTCATCTGGATGACGTAATTGACTTTGTGGGTAAGGCTACTTTTGTGTCCAAGTTAGATTAGATCTCCTTAAAGGTTACTATCAGGTACCTTTAACGGATAAGGCGAAGGAAATCTCTGCCTTCGTAATTCCAGGAGGTCATTATCAATACACAGTTACCCCCTTCAGAATGAAAAATTCCCCCTCTTCATTCCAGAAACTTATCCATCAGGCTATTAACCCTTTGACTGTTTCAGGCCCCTTTCTGAAACTGTCATTCTATGTCGCTCAATTTTTGAAAAATAAAAAAATTATTTTTTCTTATGAAATGATAGAGAATCTTTTCCCGGTGGTAATGACACCAAAAGTTCGAAATTTGGTCGAAAACTCATGGAATTATGCTCCCGTGAAGTTAGCGGTCTTGGCGACATATGCGTATTGGCGATTTTGCCGACTTTGAGCCCTATTTTCAGCCAATTCCATTGTTCCAGTTGACCAAACTCATAGCTATTTCTTTAGAACTCCATTTTATCTATCAGCTGAGTACAAGAAACCTCCCATTTACTAATTTGGACTACCCAATATGGTGGTCAGAAATTGGCAATTTGGCCAATTTCACGCAAACTAAAAAAGATGCCAATTTCAAAATAGGGTCCAGAATAAACAAGGTAGACATTTATGGCACTAAAATAACATATGCTCTGTTCATTAGTCACATCTCTAGG